CTCATACGAAGTCAGATTTGGGCGTTCTTTTTTTTTTTGTATGTTCTCTGATTAATGTATACTAGAACTTTTGTTTAGATCACTAAGGCTAAAAAGTCCTCTATCAAAAATTCACTATTTACGTCTCCCGGTGCCGTGCTAGTTTTGCCGTAAAACTTCGACGGGCCATAACTTCTTCGTTATAACTCGGATTTCGGCGTTCTTTATATATACGTAACCCTTGAGACATATTCTACAACATGGCTAAGATTATTTATTCCAAATAATTTTTTCTCAAAAAGTCGTTTTTGACCCCTCCTATCTCTAAATTGACTAGCCCGGATCTGCGGGCGTTACATGTTCTTCTAGAATGCACGCCGACTGTTTGTTGAAATGTAACTATTAAGTTTTGGGTTATTTGGATTCAATTTTTAGCCTCTTCTCAAGGCTTAATTCTGTTTGTATTTTATCATGACTTCAATTTCTACGAACACGAACTAGATATGGTCGTGTCCATTCTAATGGTTTCATTGTTACCTTGATACCAATAAATTAAAATGCATATTGAAGGAGGCTATCACTACTGACCAAGGATTTTTTTATAGTTTTGGAGGATACTTTGAAGGTGTTTGATCTTGTGTTGAAAGTGTATTTATATACATGTAATCAGTTGAGCTCGTCATCATTTTGATGGCCTTACACATTTTTCTGATGAGGTAAGGAATATGGGCGGTATGGGCGGGTACAGTATCAAAACTTCAAAGCCTTCCATCACGAAACTTGAGAACAATGTACATGAGGAGTTGCTTTTGAAGGTTGACCTTATTGACTGTGTCTTTAAAGAACCTATTACCACCATGAAAATAATTCCTTATAACTATCAAATGGCTTTCTCTCAAACTCTAAAAACTGTTATTTGTATATTGGTTGCGCAATCGGGGTCTGTTGAAGCATAGGTAAGGTTGTTACTCTTTTCGTTGCACTTCGTGGGTTTTCAGACCCAAGTATAGGAAAGAAAGTAGGTATGGAAGCAGGAAATCCTTGCAACATCGTTCCATCCTGAACTCATTAGATATATAGGGGGAAATATGGTATGATTATGCTTGTTAAAAAATATATTAGACGGTCCTCATTTGAGTTCTTTGAGAAAGGGAGGAGGTGACATTTTGATAAAGAGGGAAATAGCCAACACCAACATCAAGCAGTGTCTACGTAAGGTTGTTAATAGGCACTTTACTACAACAGTGAAAGTGTTATGTTCTTTCGTTGTTTCTCTAAATTGTGTTGGTAGTATTAAGGCTTTGGAAGCTAAGCATTCATATAAGTAGCATCCATCAATACCGATTTCCATATTTTCTAAGATTCCCTTTGTTAAGGAGGTTAATTGTGTCCTTAGTTAGATCAAACTGTTTCCTAAAGGAACATCATGTTGGAGAGATTGATTGAGGGTGCAACATGTTTTGGATGCTCTATATATAGAGAAGGGTATGTTGTGGCCAGGGATATCTTAATGTGATATCACTAATGTGGTCAACATGTGGTTAAGGTGGATATGTTTTAATATGTTTGGTGTAGATTGTAGCTTATGCACCTCACATGACGCTCCTTAAGCCTGACAACGGGATCCAACCTATTGTAGTAGGTAATAATTCGAGATGTTTAGTTTCTAAGGTTTCCATGAAAGGAGTTGGCAAATAAATGGAATGTAATATCCCAATTCCCAAGTATGAGATTTAGTATTTTAAAAAGCCAAGTTTCCCTTGGAACTCATCGAGTTGATGGCCTCAACTTGATGTGTTGAAAGGCCTTAGGCCGCGCATATTTTTTTGACTAAATCGATGAGTTGGAGAGGCAAACTCGATGAGTTGGTGGCTGACTATGAAACCCTAAGTTTTAGGGTGTTGCACCTTATTTATAGGCCTTAAGTCCCATGAATGACCTCCCTATCTGCCTCCTCTGCCCAAAACCCTAATTTTCGTGCATCCTCTCCCAAGTTGAGTGTGTGAGCTTGAAGAGTTGGTCCTTTTCGTGTTCTTTTGAAAGAAGTTGAGGTTGGAAGTGTCTAGATTGAAGGTGTGACAACCCAAAAAGAATTCCTTGTAAAGCCTAGCCAGTCAACTCAAGTGAGTGACAGACTCGTTTATGTTATCATTTAGCCTTGTTTAGAGTCCGTTTAAAGGTTCAAAGCTCAGTACATTCAAGGACTGAGTGATAAGAAGTACCTTATAAAGTTCTAAACCAACAAACGAGCCCTACACTCCATTCGAGGGAGTGTACGGCCGTACACCCATGTTGGACCGTACACCCCCTCCCTATGAGTGTTATCCTTCAGTTTTCCTTCATTCTTGCACTTTCATCTTAAGAACACTTGATTTCTCTATCAACTACCATCCGTTTTTCATCCTTGATTTTCAAAAGTTGTAAGTGTTCTTCCCTTGATTTTTTGTTATACTTTATCTCCTAGTTATACCCTTTGATTTCATCCATTGGAAATAATATTTTGACTAGATCTTTAAATCTCACCAAGAACACCAAGAACATACACTTGTTCTTGGTGATTGTGAACCCTTTTGAGCCTCCAAATCGTAAGTACTCTTTCCCTATGCTTAAGTACATGTTATAACACTAGATTAACATCATAAAAATGCCCAGAATTTGTGAACATGAGGTGTGTATGGCCGTACACACATGTGTGGCCATACACTCCTCAATACACCCTTAAAGGGGCTTTCAAGTGCATTCCTAGCTTCAACACTTGAAGAGCAATTGTCCCACAAGCATTCTACCCTTGGAAAATGTTTTTGTACACTTAATACCATGAGTGTATGGTCGTACACTCCATGGCCATACACTCCTCATATTTTCCATACACTCCCCTCAGGTCAATCACATGTGATTCCAACACTTGATCAAAGTGTTTCCTAATCCCGTGAGGTGTTTCCTTGCATTTGGTTGCTTCTAGACACTATATTTATGTCAATATATGCCATTATATGTCATTTAGGACTTGTTAAGTCTCAGGACTTCATTTGTGGAACTTCTCATCCTTACACGCATATTCATTTGAATCACCCACATTAGGTGAGTTCATACCCCATAATGAATCTTTTAACTGTTTTAAATGCTTTTGGGGGGGGGGGGAATACAAGTTGAACACAATGATAATTGTGTAAATGTTTGTTATAAACGTCTTTCAAAATATTGCTTATGTCGTTTATATGTGATCAAAACATTTAAAAACTCTTTTAAAGTTATGTTACTTTTTACTTTAACAAAACTCTATTATTAAAGTACAAGCATAACTTAGTAGTAAAATGAGTCTTTTCAATAACAGTTCAAGTAAAACACTAGTAAACTATAAGGGGTATAGTTTAGAGGTTCAATTCATACTAGATACAATACACGATAACATAAGAGAACACACAATAAAGAGAAACAGGGAGGAAGATACAATACACGATAACAGAAAGAACATACTAAGATACTATAACAGAACAAACTTACTAAGATGCTATAGCATGGAACAACTACAGAATTTAATTATACTAGCGAATCACTAACTCATTGTGCTAAACAAAAGGTGATAGTTAAATTGGGTATACATGATCGCATAACTTTAATGTGGAGTTACACGACCTAGCAACTGGTTTGCTGAAGTCGTGTTTGGTTCCCAGAATCTTTTGAAAGGGAGAGCTTATAGAATGGGTACTAGCCTTCACATTATGACCTTAATAAAACATACATGTTCTAAGGTAATTAGTATGTCAGGATGTCAATTCAAAAGACAACTGAGTACTTATGTTTTCCCATTACTTTCATTTTGTGTCAGTTCCACTTGAAAGTTAATGCAAGTTATTTTCGAGTTAAAATAGTTATAAAATAGGGAAAACTTACATCTTTTCAAAACGAAACACAGAACAGTCGGGTCTAGTACATTCAGTAGAAAGGGACCATAATGCTAACCTTATGATTCCTTAATGTAAACATCAACGGATATATATTAATAGGATCCGACAGGTAATAGGATGCGTGTTTTCCGCTTCATTTCATGTTCCTTGTTTGTTTGTGGGCTTAGAGCGGATTCACCCAACCTATTATCCATTTGATCTTATATATATATATATATATATATATATATATATATATATATATATATATATATATATATATATATATATATGTTCCGTATACATTAAGTCATCATAAGGGGTACCAGGTATAGGTCAAGTCACAGGACACTAATTCAATGCACATTTTTCAAGTACAAAACATACTTTCCAAATAGAACATTTGGTATAAAAAACTAGAAACTTACCAGTAAAGGGTTTAATCCATTTTATTAAACCAATATAACTTAAAGGACCTTAGGTGATTAATTCTATAATACCTTAGTTAATACATCAGGGTTATATATAATTAGTACCCAATAGATAGTTAGATGTGTGTCTTCCGCCTCATTTCCTATTCCTTGTTTGGTTGTAGTCTTAGTGTAGATTCACACAACTAACTATCTATTCGATATTAGATTATATATAGCTAGTATAACTTAGGAGATTATAGGAGGAACCACTGTGGTTACCATTTTTTTTTACTAAAAGAAATAAAGGTTTTCTTAAAGGATCTTTTTATCAAATGTAAAGGAACTATTGCAATTAACTCCGTGAGTACCAAGTAAATACACCAGGGTTATATACAACGACGATCGAACAACCAATGGGATGTGTGACATCCGCCTCATTCGGTATTCCTTGTTTGGTTGTGGGCTTAGGGCAGATACACACAATCGATTGTTTGTTTACTCTGAGTTTTATATAACTTGTATCTATTTACTACTCATAGAAAGGATTGTAGAGTCATTTTTACCCAAAGCCCAATACAAGTTGACTCAGTTGCATGCAGGTATTGCCTTTGGGCAACAACTCCTCCTCTGCTACCTCCACTCAGCAGACCACATTTGTGTTGAAGGACAATATCATATACTTCTACAAATACTAATTCTTATCTCTGTAATCACCACCCTTATGGGCATTAGCTACCAGAAAAGCTTCATAGTTGGCTTCATAAGGTCCATTAGCATATTCTTTGAAGGTCTTTGGCTTATGATCATGGGTTTCATGCTTTGGACTAGAAACTTAATTCCTAAAGGTTGTTTCTTGAACCTTGAAGAGGGTCATCATGTGGTCAGGTGCCATGGGGAAGAAGCCTTAGAACGCGCTAAGTCATTGGTGAATATTCAATTTAGTTGGTATCTAATCTGGTTGACAATCTTTGATGTCTCGCTTTACTTCGTCATGTATAAAATCTACGAGGAGAAAGTTGAGTACCAAATACTAACAAGTTACGATCAAGAACAAATACATGAAGATATCGAGGCTCAAAGGAAACTCGACCAATCACAAAGCTTTCTTCAAATGTAGAAATCTTTTTCTCCACTTGACATGGACAGGTAGATATATAAGATACATCTATCAGAAGCTTATATATAGTTGGTGAGTTTTAGGTAATATGGTGTGTTGATTTATTTTTCTTCGTTTAAAAGATAATTTAGTACTTAAAACACAAAATGTTCTTAATGGCTTTATTACCTTCAATGTTCGTTCTTTTTTTCTTTATTTTTTTAGTAAATTTGTAAAGAATTTTCTTATGAATGTGATTGTTTGAAATTGTATATTTGTCTCATTTAAGCATACATATATAACAGAAGCTTATATATAGTTGGTGAGTTTTATTTAATATGGTGTGTTGATTTATTTTTCTTCGTTTAAAAGATAATTTAGTACTCAAAACACAAAATGCTTTATTACCTTCAAGGTTGGTTCTTTTTTCCTTTATTTTTTTGTAAATCTTTAAAGAATTTTCTTATGAATGTGATTGTTTGACATTGTATATTTGTCTCATTTAAGCCATCTAATTTAACATTCGTTTATGCGTGTCGGTTTGAACATATTTATATATAAAGTTGATGTTCGATTTGACCATTTTGGCTATAGTAATTAAACCAAATATATAACTAGAATAAGTATTGGTTTTCATACCACGTTAAAAAAAAATATATTATCATTTAACGAAACAGAATAAATAATACATAAATAGAATCTAAAGATAACTGAATGTGATGGATATAAAGTAGTAGAAGCAATGTGCATCGATTCACTAGAGTCGATACTTAATAGTCGTAGCCACTCAGCCGCCGTGCCTTTAACTTCATTTTTTTTTAATTGAGATTATAAATTTTGTTTTGCGCAGAAATCCTCAGTTAACCCTAACGGATTCATAATTTCCGACTGAGCTAATTGTTATCAGCACAAAAACCTCAATAGACGTAACAGAATCGATAATAGCGATAAAACATTTTGGTTTATCCACAATCCATCCACGTCATTAACCACATGGTATCACCGAAACCATAAGATTCATATCACTAAAACACCATTCGATATATTTTTTTTTAATTTAAAAATACTTTAAAAACATATATATTTAAAAAAAAAACTAACTAGTTTTTCTCGTAGCTTTAAAATACCACATTACATTAAATAAAAAAATAAAAACCCAACGTTTATATATATATATATATATATATATATATATATATATATATATATATATATATATATATATATATATATATATATATATATATATATATATATATATATATATATACTAAAAATGTCAAACATAACTACAAAAAAATACTCATTATTCCTATATCGGGTTCGAACGAACTATTTAATCGCGAGAAATATATCCAAATCTTCGACTTTAAGATCATCCGCTTTCATCTTCAATATCTTCATATCGGTTTTTCTTTGAAGCGACATTTGTGCCTCTTGAAATGACGTTTGCATTTCTAACATTTTTTATTGCACCCGACTCATCATCCCCGCCTTGCTCTCATGTATTTAGACATATCGATCAAATTTGTCTTCAAAATGATCGATAACGTTAGATCCCGAGGCCGATATACCGTTTTTTTGCTTTATTTCTTCCAACGAGCCAGCGAAGAGGTTGCTCGTCTTCAAGATCTATTGGATCATCGTTGATGTTGATGTCTGTTCGCTCGTCCGATTGTTGGGAAGTTGCACCAGGGTGTCTTGAACGCTTTGAACCGGAAGAGATTTGTGAAGTTCCTTCAGTTTGTTTTTTCCATTTTGGAGCATCTTTCAATTTTAGTCACGGTTTGAGATATGGAAAGCATTTGTGGGTTGCCGTTGTTTTTTATATTGATCCAAGGCCACCTTAAATACATCGTTGTTGAAGTTGTTGTAAATTCATCTAAATTCAGTACATTTTAGCCTCAAATCGTGCCACTTTGAGCTAATTTGGTCGGGATTTCGACTTTCACTTCTTATTAACTCGTAGAACAGGCTTTGTACTTTCTCCCAAAAATAATTAAATGTTTGACTACCTCCTTCAATTGGGTCTTGGGAAGTCGATACCCGCGCCTCCGATAGCATCTCTTTTTCCTCTTTTGTCCATGGAACCCTATCGGTTGTATTAGTTAACACGAGTTTTTTTTTTTTTCCTTTTTTGGTTAGGTTGGTGGTAGTGAAGGTTGTGTTTCCGACACAAAATCTGGCGAAAGAGGGGGTTGTGAAGGTGGTGATTGTGATGGTTGTGGTTGTAAAGGTTGTGGTTTGGAAAGTTTGTTGGTATACGAAATTGGGTTGAAATTGTTGTTGATAGGGCGGAAAGTTTGAAATTGTTGTTGGAAAAGTTGTGTGTGTTGGATAGGTGAACTGGTTTGGAGCAAATTCATAAAACCACTGTTAGGCGTGTCAAACCCAACAAATAATATAGGTACAATAGAGTCCAAATACACTACTTTAATACACTAAAAAGTATTACAAGGTGAGTAGGGACGAACCACAGAGACATGGGATAAAAGTCTACACCTCTTTGCACAAGGAACTTTGATCACAAAAGGGGGTTTTGTTTGTAAAAGTAAAATAATAAAATAACAGTTCACTTTAAAAAATGCAGAAAATGAAATATACTTGTAAACAATTTGATTGAAGGGTTCTAGTTCTAGTTCTCAATGTTGTTGTTCAACTTGATTATGACTTGATGTAATTTATGGTTGCTATTCTAAGTTGGTACTGAAAGTTATAAACATGCTCTAATGCCTCTCTCTTGCCAAATTATCTAACCAAAACACGGTCTTTGACTAGACCTGGTCGTATTGAAAAACTGCATTAAGTTTTGTACAAGCTTCCCAATAATGTTCATTTCTTCTCATACGCTCGGAAGTGAGAAAACATGTGATATATGTTTTAGAACAAGAAAACTTCTTGTTTATTACCAATTATTAACTTAATACAATGATTAGGTGCCCTAAAAGTTAATTAACTACACAAAAATTCAATTCATAAAAGTGGCCAATCAAACACAAATCAAATTCATGGGCACTAGTTTAAACAAAAACATAATCACTAGAATAGAATCACAAATCAAACATCAAATCATATACTTCAAGTCAACCAAGAAACATGTTTTGAATGCAAACTGAAAATTAGGGTTTCTTAGCCACACATGGCTAAGAACAAATCAATCAAAAAGAAAGATGGAATTAGAAATGTTTAATACTTACAAAAGGAAATCAAAAGTGTTTGCAATGATTAGTAGCCTTCAAAAGCTCTCAAAAATCTCCCAAAATCACTAGAGAAAACTCCCAAAACCGTCTGTGTATGATAAGTGTCGATCCCCTCCAATGTAGCACCACAATGCATTCTATTAGACCATACCTTTTTAGCATGGCCATGCCTTTTTCCCATGTGTTTTTGGCATGGCCATGTATCTTGACCATGTGTTTTTAGCATGGCCCATGCTTTTTGCTAAAATTCCAATAAGTCTTCATTATTGGATCCTTCTTCAATCAAGCTTCACCATGAGTCATGTTGCTCAAATTTAAGATGAGAAAGCACAAACACAACCAGTGTCGGTGTGACACGAATCGTGTTTCAAACGTAGTCCTCTGCTATGATGATAATGCAACAGGGACTCAAGTTATGTCTTCATGTTTTCTTCCATGGCATGACTGGTCCATCGTCTCTTCATGCTTCAAAGCTCTATGCTCCATGTTCCAAGTTCCATGCTCCATGATCCAAGTTCCATGCTTCATGCTCCATTTCAAAGCTCCATAATGCCTACAAAATAAATCAAAAATTGTGAAGTACTAGATATTCTTAATAAAATATGAAATTTCCTAATTAATTAACTAAATACAAGAATTATGAAGTAGAATGCTATGAGATGATGGAAATAAACATGCAAAATAGGTGCATAAAATGCACCTATCAACCTCCTAGAGGTGATTCCATGTTCGGGTATTGACGGTGAGTTGTATCTAGCGTAAAAATGTTATCAGATTTGTGGTTTCGATAGTTTGGGGGGGGGGGGATTTTTATTGGGATCCATGGTTTTTGGTTGAAAATAAAGTCGTACGTGTAATTGTTTATAGAGAAATATATTAATGGTGTAAGAAATGAGGTTGTGTGTTATGGTTTATGTAGGTAAATGGTTGAAATTAAAAAAATATTTTTCAAAAAAAAAAAACAGTTGAACGGCTAGTAAAATTGAAGTCAAAGAGTAAAGAGTAAATTACACGAATGGTCCCTATGGTTTAGGGTAATTTGCGCGTTTGGTCCCTAACATATTTTTTTAACTCGGAAGGTCCTTATTGTTTGTTTTTGTTACGTGCCTTGTCCCTATCTTACCTAAAAAAAATACTATTATGCCCCTTGATTTTTCTAATTTATTTAAATAAACACACCCCTAATCCCACCCCCTCACCTTACCTCACCTACCCCATCATTTTTTCCTCTTTAAATAATAGTCTTTTTTAGATAAGACAGGGACCAAACGCGTAACAAAAATAAACAGTAGGGATCAAACGCGTAACAAAAACAAACCATAGGGACCTTCCGAGTTAAAAAAATAAGTTAAGGACCAAACACGCAAATTACCCCAAACCATAGGAACCATTCGTGTAATTTACTCAAGAGTAAATGGTTCAACCGGCTCCTATTGGCCATTCTCGATCATCGAACACACCACGAAAGGGCATGACCACAACCCACAATGACACATTGGGATGGTGTGCATGGATGTGGTTCGTGACCACCTAGACCATGACGCCCGTCATGATATGGATTACGGATGGCCTAATTATCTGACTCTATTATACCGCTAAGCATTCATCGTTAGTAAATGGTTATTGGTTAAAAATGGGAAATTGAGTACTCTAACCCATATAAATGGGTATTTTATTAATAATAACCAACTTATTATTATTATTATTTTTGTAAAATGGCCACTTTCTCCATAATATCGCATTCCAGAGTTGAGGTATTCATTCCATAGATTTGGTCTGAAACAAGAATATTCATACGTAGTCATGGATGCATGTTTTGGA